ATTCGCAAACCAGCACCCCATCAGCAACAATGCAAGGAATTGAGTTCTTGCATGGAACTGGACAGGGGCAATCTTGATGAGGCTATGAATGTCGTGTTTTATGGCGATGACTAATATAATCAGGATGCAGATCAACCTCAAATCAACCAGGGAATTCGAGTCTGTTGATAGATTGATTGATTGAGTTGATCTTGCACGTTACATCAAGATTTGGATTCGGACACGACTTTTGGAACAGAGGCATTGTGTGGATATGATTGCATGTGATAATAGGACAATGAATACGTGCAGTATTGCGTGTTCTGGATGAGGTCCAACATGCGTGACAAGCCTGTATGCAAACAAACAGTTGTCGGTCATTTTGTCCTCAAGCCTGTCGCAACATCGTCGATAGGCCATTGTGTCAGGGATTTTGAGCTTTTAGGATCCAGTCGCATATGGGCACCTGTTTGTACCAAGGTCCAGTCTCTGATAGATACTAAACCTTGCGATACAGATTCTCTATCCTGTGCATCTCCGTGACAGCGACGTTTCATGATTGGTTTTCACGTGTAAGCGCCTTTGATCTTGGGGACAGGGTGCAAGAGTCCCCCCCTTATTTGATTTGCTACCGTCGCTGATTCATCCTGCCCCATTTTCGCCTTTTTTCAACTCAAGCGATTGCGCGAAACTTTTAGTGCGAGTACTTCCCACTGCCATTATTCTCCTTTGGCAGATTTCTCTACCCAACAAAATTTCTGATCGCTGGAGTACTCTGCTCAAACTGCTCCACCGCTGGGCACGTGGGCCTCACGATGGCAGCGAAGGTGGAGGCCAGCACCAGAAAATGGATTGTGATTCCGCGGGGTGTGATGTGTCTTGGACCGAAAATTCTAGGGACAGAAACGATCACAGCGAATTCAGCGCCTCAACCATTTGTGCCACACTATGGCGCAAATTGTACATCCTCCTCCCAGAAAGTCAGAAACATTTGATTGAGAGGCAGCATTTGCATTACAAACTTTGTGCACGCCGCAACGCACACATCCATCCAATAATACTCCAAGCTTTTTCCTTTTTGTGGCATGACGCCCGCCTTGCAGAGTCCGCAGCAAGGCGTCGTCCTGTGGCCACGCTGCGGACGCCCTCCTGCCGTTTCAGTGCGGACGGCAAAGCAGACGGCAGGATCGAGCATCGAACCGGGTACTGTCTGATGGGATGCGCCCCATCCCTTCCAAACCCTAAACCCTAAACCCTAACCACGTTGGGCAAGGGAAGGGGTAAGTCCAAACCCCCCGCGGCCGATCGCGGCCGGACGGGTGGACACTGACGCGACCCTGCGCCGGTCCCGCAATTGCCTCCGCCCCAATCAATCCCAGCCATCCCCACGCCGTCCTTCACATCACTTGTTCCCTTTCCGCCCTCATCCGGCCTCCGATGGTGCTCCGCCCACGCCCGCCGCGAGCAACCCCGGCGCGCTGCCAGCCACCGTGCGCGGCCGCCGGCCCGCCGGGTGCCCGCTCCCGCATCCCCATCCCGTGGCCGAGCGAACCATCCGACGCTTCGCGGCGTCGCAGGCTGTCGCGCCGCTGTGGCCAGGGCCGCGCAGTGAAGGTCGGCTGACGGGGCACGGCGGACCGAACTTGCACGCCATTTGCACCACAACTGGGGAAGCAATTTGGGGCTGGAGGTGTTGTTCAAGGGGGAGGGAGGACTGAACTGTGGGGTCGGGCTGTTCGCGGTTGGCGTAGATTGGGTTGGGATGGCTTGCGCCACTGCGCAGGCGGGCCATGGGTTTGGGCGAGGCGCGAGGGCCAGGCGGAGGCGCTGCTGGCCTGGGCCAGGGTCGCCTTTATTAGAAGCCGATCGGGCGGCGTGGATCTGACCCGTTTTGACGGGATGCTGCAGCAGGGCGGCATTCCGTTGACTGCGGTGGGTTCGGAGGGGCAGTGGCGCGGCGCCGCGGGAGGGAGGCGGGGTAGCCTGCGGCGGCGGATCCGGGGCGGGCGCGATGAGGGAGGCCCCGCTGGAGTTCCGCGCCGGGGCCTTCTGCGGCGGCTGCCTGACGCGCCAGCAGGCCAGGGACCGATGCCTGCAGGCCACACGGCGGGAGGTGCACAAGTGAGGCGTGGGGATTGAAACTGGGAAGTCTTTCGCGGCCGCTGCGCGGTGAAATGTGGCGGCGAGGCGCCGGGGAGGGACGCGGCTGGCCGCTTTGGTGTTTTCCCGGTCGGTCGAATCAAGCCGGCGGAAGGGTGTCTTGCCATGTCTTGCAAAGTAGCCTGTGCGGTGCATTTGGGCGAGACTCCTGAGTAGGAAACTTGCACGGATAGCTGTGCGTCCAAAAGCCACCGAGTGCGACCCTGTCCACAACGGCAGCGCCTTGCGGCGGCTGTTGATGTCGTGGCCATGGTGAAGGGCTCTGGTACTGTGCTAACTACTAGCATTGGCACTATCCTTGCATGCTGGTCCCGGCAGGGCAGGAACAGCGTTGCGTTAAGTACTTGACGCACCAGTGGATCAGACAACACAATCTCGTGCATAGGCACATCTTGGCCTTAGATTTTTGTCAGCCCCAAACCTGACTATCTGAGTAACATGGCCATGTGCACATCAGTACACAAGAAAGCCAGTCCAATGCAAGCTCTCCCATGGTGGAAAACAATCGCATCCATCCAAATTACTGTCTTTGGATGCTTGAGAATCAGCCTTGTAGAAAGTCTGGAGAATCAGGGCACGGCCCATGGCATGTTGCTATAAGGGCCATGTTCATTTCCCCAATTGAGCCCGACTTTTGCTACATTCCATGGAACCTTCATCTTATATATTATTATCATATTATATATGTTATTATTATACAATATTTATCAACTCCACTTGTGCAGTTTGCGGAGTGACAGCAAATGGTTAGTTATGCTATGCAGCTTCATGTTTCATATTGAACTGAGACTGAGCGTAGCAGCCATTCCAACTGCAACGTCGTCGTTGAAGCATGCCTTGCTGCAAGTACCTGGTCTCGCTGAAAACTCTTTATGCTGACGATTTGGGGTGTTCCTGTTGCCAAGCATCTTGAGGACATTGTCGACCATGGTAATACTGATGCTGTCAGATGATCTGAACTCAACAGTGAGGGACGACTGCCTTGACTGGCACAATCGTTCTGGTGTGCTTGCAGTGGACACATTTGTGTATCATGTAATGCCGCCCTTCACTTCCCAATAGGCAACGAGGTAGTGCATTATCAAGACCTGACATGTACATTCCATAACAAGTTACGCTTGTTCGTTGTTCTTCCTGCTGTGTCGTGTACAGGCTAACGATGTCCCGGGAGTTTGCTGAGTGGTACACCAACAAGCAGACCTCGGCCATAGTCACTTGGTGGTGCGCATTTGCACTGGGCTTGCTGGTCATCGCAGCTTCCACAGCTGCTGCGGGCGTGCTCTACCTGTGGGTGCGGGACACGCAGAAGGTCCTGGCTGACACCCAGGGGAAAGCATTGCTAGTACCTGCCCCTGAAACTGCCCCCTTACCAGATACCGAGATGGCCACCGATGCAAACGCAAAACTGGGAGAAACTGCTACAGGCGATGAGCGAAAGGGCCCCTCTTGTGACTGGGACCCATATGACGTCGGAGAAATGTATGAATCTGCACGTCCTGAGGACAATCTGCTGAGTAATGAAGGGTGTGGATATGCTTCAGTGGACCAACGGCAGCACGCCAATGACCTGCGTATGGAGGAGCCCATCTGGGAAGACTGCGCCAGGTCTTTGAAGCAGCAGGTTCGTGAAATTCTTGCTTCAATTGCAAAGCACTGCATCACATTAGCATTCCAGGGAAGATAGTTCAAATGACGGTTGGTTGCATGGATTCACAGTGGGCCTGTTCTGGCACAGTGGACAATATTGTTTGCTTCCCAATCGGAAGCTCCAGTTCTGCTATTTCAACACACTGGAGGGCCATCATCTCCACAGCATAGTCAATAGTTGACTGTGAAATCTCCTGACAATATGACAGCGGCCCTTGAAAACATCCCTTTAGAGCAATCGCTGTGCGTAGCAGGGCAGCTGTTCTCCGCCCATGACGTCACTTCTGCAGCACGATGTCGGAGGGGTGGAGAGGAGTTCACTGCCCGTTGACTGATTGCTACAATCCATAGATTGTTGGCCTGTGATTTGTATGCTGCTTTAGATTGCTCCTTGCCGAGTGCCCCTGTGTTTGTATTCGTCAACACACAATAAAGCAAAGCCCTTGTTCAGGTCTGATGATGGCTGTTGATAGACACAACACAATAGTGTACCCCCAAACCAGTGTTTTTTTTCCTGTGGCCCTGGGAAGACTGGTCCCATGGTGTATGCTGGGAACAATGTGTGGCAAGGTGCAGGTGATAGGCCCTGTTTCTATTTGTGGCCTGACGCATTCGAGTGATGGACTCTTGTGGTCCAAGATCAGACATTTATCACGTGTTTCACTCTCCTTTGTAGGACCATACTACGCCAAAGGTGGAAAAGGATCCTTGTTACAGTCGATAGGAGGGTGGTGGATTCGGAGTGCTTAAGTGCATTCAGCAGATATAGGAACATAGTACAAATTATACTAACAATGAATTCCCATCTACAAGGACAGATACCTGCTGCAAGATGACCCATGTCATTCCACAGCCAGCACACAAGAAAGTAGTGAATGGTACGAGTGGTACTAATAGTAGCAGGATGGACGGCACGCATTAAACCAGGGGTGAGACTGGTGCGGCCCATTGTGTGTTGTAGTTTTGATTTGTTGTGCGATTAAAGAAACTGACACTGTATCATGTGCGCAACTGAGTAAACAATATGCTTGGCAAATTCTCGTTTTGGGGAAATGGGAAGTTGGTGCACAAACCACTTGAGAGACAACAACGTGGGGTATATGCATGCCATCCATGCACCGTTTCCAACTTCATTGAAACATCGTTCTCTTCATCTCTGAATCATGTGTGCTGGCCTAGTTTCGCAGCACTCATCAGCACACATCCATTCCATCATTTGACATGCCCTTCGTCACACCAGTTGTGTGCAGAAACAAGCAGACCATTGCAAGAGGTTTGTCTTCCTTGGTGTGCCACCAATGTAATCTTAGAGAATTCCTATTCCTAAATTTTAGCAGGTGTTTGTGCCTGTGTTATACAGTTCTCTGTGTTGTTATTCCAAATATCGCAACGCGTGTCAGAAAGGAATGTTTGGCAGTGGGAGAAATTGGTACAATGTACCATTGACGTTTGCATTGTTGTCACTGATGATACCGGCTATCATTGGGGTTCCTACAATCAAACAAGATGTGCATGCAGTCGACAGTCCCAAAATTTACAACTGGCGTGAAAAAGACAAAGAATACCTGGTGTTGCACAAAGTTTTGCCCTGCAATTTGCAGGTATGCCTGTGCACAGCGCAGGAGGTACACCATGGGGTATCACAACACAGACACTCGGTAGTGAGATTGTAGGTCTTGATTATTGGCATAATGGCAATGCAGGTCCCCAGGACCTGTCGTTGCTGTTTGACGCTGCATTGAAACAAACCAACATGCCCAGCCAACAGTTTCTTTAAGAAGTGCACTGGGGAGAACCGGTGCTCTGCTGCTGCAAACTGTCAGGCATTTCTCTCGCTCCCTGAACATCTTGTTGGAGATGGAAATCGTCGCCACCATAGAAATGCAACCCATAGTTTGGGCTTGCTGCGTTTACTTGGTCCAGAATGTCCTATGTAGAAGCAACCACACATCTGCTGTCGAATCTTGTTGGAGTAATTAACTCTTTCAACTCAAGGCTCACCACTTGTACAATGTGCAAGTGGACTCACAAATTGCCCAGTTGCTGTGGCAATATGCTGGCAGGCTTTTTCATTGCATAGACAAATTCGCTTCAGTAGAACTATTTGGTTGGGAATGGGCACAAGTTATCATGCATTATTGTGCAATACCATATACTAGTTTGGATTGAAGATGTGTCAACATGTCCAGCAGCGTTGAACAGTTGAAAGGGCAGTGATCAAAAAGTAATATTCTTATAATTTGCTCGACGGAGGTTTATGCAAGGCACACATTCGGGTTGATTATGCAGTTGATAAACGAGGAGAAGCTCGGAACAGCCTGCATTCGCCTTTTGCAGTCGCGCAGAGGGACAGCTGCATGGCTGCTGTGCGTGGCTACGGTGATGGTAGCGTTCGCCTTGGGGAAATTCTGGGACCTGCAGCGCCAGTTGGCAGGTTTAAAGGAAGCACTGCGGCTTGAAAAGTTGAAGGCAGAGAATTTTGCAGCATCTCATGAGGGTGTGCCTTCTATAAACGGGGAACAAGAGAGACAAGATGAGCATGCAGATTCAAGTGACAATGAGTCGGAACAACAGGATGAGGTAGGGTGTTGGCAATGGCAATGACATACATGTACAGCAGAGACATCCCACCGGGGTATGCACTGTGCCCTTGGGTTTGAGAATCTTTCCTGCATAGCCAAGGTGGCACATCATTGGATTGCAGGAGAAGCACTAACAAGTGGCCAACGATCATTAGTGAGCATGGGGCCGTATATGTTGGTCGCAGTGCAGAACAGTCCCATTTGGATTTCATTTGGATTTCATGTAGGAATCGCAGGCAGTGATTGCTTCAGTAGTGTAATACTGGTTTATGAGGAATAGTGCGAACAGTGAACTTGTTCAATGCTGTAAACTGCCCATTCATCCACTGTGTGGATCAGTACTGTCAATCTTGCTCCGAATGAGACCCGAAGCTCATGTACTATTGCGTCACAGATTTACTCAACTTCCCTTAGACAAGTGTTGCACCACATTACGGAGTACCAAAAGTAGCATTGGTCCAAAACTGCGAGCGCAGTAAATTCAGATAATTTCATAGCAAGTTGGTTGGCATGGTTAAGAATCGGAAGAAACTGTTGCATGGGACAGATTTTACAGAATTTTCGTTCCATCGCTCAAGAGTATGGCTCCCTTGGCTTTTGTTGACCTCAAACTGTGGCACCTCTGAAAGCTTGTTGCAAAACCCAAAGTCGAGCTCTGTTGCATCAGAGTAGCCGCACTGTTGCTATGCAGCATGCAATTGCAGCACAACAAGATAGAGTGGGTATGACCACCAGCTCAAGCATTTGTCTTCTTGCTTCCGGAACCTTTTAAGATGCTGCAGATATTTACGAGGTGGCTGCCAGCACAGGTGATTCTTGTCTTCCATGCGCAGGTGAAAGCTGCCCTCCACAGTCTTGACAGGATTGCTGCAGAGCTTCCCAAAGAGGAAGAAAGAGTTGAGACCCTGCGAGAAAAAGTGGCACGGCTGGAGACGTTGAATGAGGAGCGCATGGTGCTGGAACCAAAGGTCAATACTCTGAGAAAGGCAGAGGAGGAGATGGCAGACTGCGAAAAACATATTGAGGCTATGGAGGAACGGCTCAAAAAGCTGCCAGAACTTAGACTGAAGGAAAGAGGCCTCTTGGAAAAGTCCACAGAAACGGAGGATTTGATTGCTAAAGTTGAATCAATGATGGGCAAAGCTGCCATCATCGACGTGGTGAGTTCTCCTGCCTGGACATTTCATACCAGGGTGCACCTGACCCATGGGATGTCCTTGTGAGTTGTCAGGGTAGTCATGGCCTGGCAGTCAAGATGCCCTGGTCATAAGTAGACAGGCCAACAGCAGAATCATCCATTGGCGACGATGTAATTATCTTTTAACTGGGAGGTGGCTGGATTGATATATCTGCCATCCTTCTGTTGTCTCCCTAGTGCTTCCTTGGTCCTCTGTCTTTTCACGCTTCTACCACCGGTTGCCACCCAAACACTGTTGTTCCGATTGATATTCTGATAAGCTGACTATGTGGCAAGTGACTGACTTTATGTTTCTGCATCCTTTATGCAAAGCAATGCATGCCCTTGTTGGGAGTTTCAATGTGCTGCTGGTCCAGAAGAAGAAAAGTGATATGAGAATAAGAGCATTCTGATTCAGAGTAAGATAATTAAGCGTGCAATGGCATTGTCCAGTAATGGCTAGTGTGCATGATTTCCTGGGCATAGCATTCCATTGTTGGTACCTGCTGATCGATTTTACGGACTCAGCACTATATGTTAGTGCAAACTTGTTCCCATTGCTCCTGTTGACTGTACTAAATAGGTGAGTAAATATGCAGGTACATTCATGTGCAGAGTGGCGAGCTGAGTTAGCTGTCTTTGGTGCCTGCATCGTCAGGTCACAGACGTCCATAACAGGATGAAAGAAGATGCAGATGCTGCAGATCGCATGTTGATGGACATGAAGGGAACAGAGGGTCAACTCGAACGGGTATGGTGCCAAACGCCCTACAGCTATTGTGCTTTTGCTTGCATGGGTTCCTCAATTGTACTTCAGCTCCAATCACTGCCCCTATGTCTGCTTTTGGTTATAGACCATAGCTAGAAGAGGCAGTCTTTAAGTTCCTGATGTTGGTGTTTATGGACATGCCAATTGTGAAGATAGGAATTTGAGTGACTGCTTTGTGCTGAAGTGGCTGCTGTTCGAGTCCGTCTTGTTTGCCAACCGCAACAACTTTTTGTCCCCCGTGCATGGAATCGTTTTGGAGCACTAGTTGCTGATCCACACTCATTTGCTTGCCCTATTCATGGCACAGGCAAGGGCAGAGTACGTGGACAAGGAAACTAGAATAAAGGATGAGATTGAAAAGCTGCAGATGAATTTGAATCAGCGACTACCCATGCTTGAAAAGGAGCGAGATGAGCTGCAGGCGAAGGCGCGGGATCTGGCATCAACTCCGGGCCTGGAATCAGCAACAGCAGTCCCTCCTGGCAGTGTTGTGGCCACTTCTGCCGTTGAATTGGACACACGGAAGAACGACCGCTCAATGAGAAAAATGAAACAATCACAGCTTGATGCAAAGGTACTCTCACCCCTAGCTGTGTATGTTTCTTGTGTCGATTTCAAGCTGCTGTACAAGCCATTGCAGGGCTGTGCAAGCATGAGATGGAATGGTCTGCTCATTTGCCATCGTTGTGTGTTCTTTTGTTTGAGCCATCCAAATATAGCGAAGTGCATCTGCAAGGTGCCAGGCCCACAATCCCACGACCTTCAAGTCCATGTCTGCGCCTGGCAATGCATTCATGCTGCAGCATTCTGATTTTATTGCCACTCTTCATGCAAGATCCATGACCCCAAGCTGCTATCCAGAATGCTGTCACAACAACTTGGTGGTCTTGTAGATGGAAGACATGCTGGCAAAGCTGGAAGGAGAGAAGAAGCGCCTGGAGGAGGCTTTGGCTGCTGAACGGGAACAAAGCGCTAGCTGGACACGAAAGGCACAACAAGCCCAGCAGACTCTCAGCAACCTGAAAAGGAGAATGTGGGTACAGCGCTCGAAGGTTTCTGAAGGGGCTGGCAGCTTTCTGGCCATTTCTCCCCTCTGTCCTGTTGTGTCCATGTCATCACACTTTAGGAGTCCATGTCTGTATTGAAACGTCGGTGGTTTATTTTGAGTTTCCCAAGGAGGGGGTTTTTAAGAATGGGCTGTGACAAACAAAGCCCACCATTTGCAAGCCTGCAAGGGCTTGGTTATGGCCGTTCTAGCAACAGCAGTTCATGGATCACCCTGTTCAGAAACTTGGCATGTCGCTGCCCTTGCAGCCTTTCGGAACCTTGTGGCGATCTAAATGGCATACTGAGGTGCCTAGACTTTGAATGCCGTTGAAGAAGATATGGTGACCTGACTCCCTTTGATGTCCTTGTGTGCAAGTGTTCCCTTCGATGTTCTTGTAGTGGGTGTTTTGAGATTCTTGGACCAGTGTGCAATCTCTGAAAATTGAGGGTTGCTCTGCTATGCTGCCGCTTGAATGTGCATCAACGGCTCTGCCCTGCCTTGAAATTGAGTCTGTTTTTCATGTCCATTCCGGCAATCCAACAGGCAAAGGGAACTTTGTTGGCTGCCAACAATTTCTGAAAAGTGAGTCTGCTGATGCAGGCAAGAATCCAGCAGAACGGGCCATCTGCAATTGTCATACAGATCTCTGTACCAGACAGAGACTCCGATGGTGAGTTTAGATTAACCTTCTTGCCCAGATCCATGCAGCTTGCACTCCCTGCAGAGAATGCAGCTACAGGATGTCTACCTTGTTTGCTTACAACCACATGGGTTGCCCGTAGTATTCACCAATGTGGCTGCGCCAGTGCACCAGCACCCTTGCATCAACGTGTTACCAATGTGGCTGCACCAGTGCATCAGCACCCTCGTCTCAGCATGTTACAACGTATGCAGGTGTCGCTGGGTGTATTGAAGAAGCCGCAGGAGACATGCAATGAAAATGCATATGCAGTCCTTGTCATGCGGGGCGACAAATATGCCCTTGGTGCTGCGGTCGTGGCCTACCAGCTCAAGCAACTGAACGCAAGGGCTGATGTTGTGTGCCTTGTGACACGAGAAGTCAGCCCTGAAGCAAGGCAGGCCCTTTCGACCGTGTTTGATGCGATCTACGAATGCCCCTTGGTGCAATTCGACTGCATCGAAATGACCACACAGAAGCAGAGGGACTTCTATGGGGAATGGATCAGCGAAAGTTTCACCAAGTGGAATGTGTTGTTGCTGACCATGTACAAGAAAGTGTTGCTGGTCGATGCAGACCTCCTGCCCTTGACCAACATAGACAACTTGTTCACGCTCAACGCCCCCGCTGCTACATTCTCCAGCCCGTGGTCATCAGAATACAAAGGAGGCGGCGGTTATGATGACCCCTACAAGGCAAGCGCGCTGGCTGCGTCGGCGCTTCGATGTCTGGCTGTCCCGTGGCCACTTGCTGTTTCATTCTCATCCCTGACGGTCCGAGAATGTTGATGAGCGTTGGGTATCGAGTGTGTGAGCTCGTTGGCATCGTAGTTGCCATGCCTGATGCGGATTACCTTAAATGCATGACACACCAGTATGCTGGGGTGCCCACAAACCATGATTGCAATTTCCGCTTGCAGTTCATAAGTAACCTTTCACTTGGCATTTTCTTCATCTTTGTATTGATGCAGTCATCATTTGGCGACAGGGCCTGGTGCACGGGAGGAGTGTAGACCAGCAAATGATATTCAGCGCCATCGATGCAAGCCTACGCTACGACAAGGGCGGGAAAGGCAGCTATGTGGGGCTGGGCAGCCTGGTGCTCGTGGAGCCCAGTGCAGACCAGTTCCAATCACTGTTGGCGTTTGTCTCGGCTCGCCAGCCGTTTGGTGTGCCGGGCTGCCACTCAGGGTTCGACGAGCAGTCCATTGTGTTTTATTTCAATGCGCACCACCCAAACCGTGGCTGGACCCACATATCGCAGGAATACAACTGCCTAGCCTGGCACCGGAAGTGGATACGTGGTGCACAGCCCAAGTGCTACCACTACTTCAACGAAAAGCCCTGGACACAGCATCCCCAAAGCTACGAGGATGTGCCAGTGTGGTACGATGCAGCCGCTGGGCTAAGGAAGAGCCACCCAGAGACGGAGGTTTTGTTTGAGAAATGTCTTAAAGACATGAACTTCATAGAGTCTCACATTGTGGGGCCATCCAGCAAAGGGAGGAATTCTTGATTGTGGACGAATCGGCGGCGTAGGTGGCGTCAGCGCGGTTAATGTGTTTTTGGATTGTGCTTTCGTGCCGATTGCACAAAGGACGTTGCACTCCATAGTCGCCCATCAGTGCATCGACAGCAGCGGCAGTTGCATGACTGTACCTATAATGACGCTGCGTGTGGAGATATGATGCACATGGTATACATGGTGGGTATGGTGTTAGTGAGTGACAGGGCACGACATGGCGCCCAACGCGGTAGTGCACATTTGACATAGAGTGTATCGTGTAAGCCATCCTTGATGGTCTGTCCCTTGGGCCTGGGTGCGGCCGTGTGCCAGGCGCTGATCAGAGCTGTCCGTTGTCATGGCGCCCTTTGCATTGGCCTGTTTGTGAGACGGCGAGCTTTCCCTTGATGGCTGAGCAGCAGCAGTTGCAGCTGCTGCATGAACGTGTCGTGCAGATCAGGAAGGTGTGGCATCCCGCCCACCCCCACCCCCACCCCCACCCCCACCCCCACCCCCACCCACCCACCGACAACAAGTCATAAGTTCTGACAGTGCATGTGCGAATGACCTGGCCATCTTGTTAGATGGTTAGCACCCTGGACGGTTTGCAGGAGGCCAAGAGGGGCCAGTGACGGCAGTGCCCAGAAACTGCCGAATTGGGCAGTGGAAACCTTCGTGCTATGGCCCTGTGCTGTTTGCGGATGGGGGCAGCTGCCCCAGGGACACAAGGCATCGAGGAAGCTGCCAAGAACACAGGGCTGCATGTGTCCGCGGACATTTTGAGCACAGGGACTGAGCGCAACAGAAGAGACACAGTCACGCAGATCATATGGGAAGCGATTTCTGGGACGCTCAGTCACATACAGCAGCCAGGAAGCGACTTCAAAAGAAGGGATATAAGGGATACAAGTCGCTGTGCAAAGAACAAGTCAGGGTGCTGGGGCCGACCTACACGCATCAAAACCAAACACGCTGTGGTTGCATTGCTTTCAAAAGTATCTTTTGCTCCACAAATTTCTGCCTGCCCCTTCAAACTCAGAATTTTGTCATCATCAAGCTTCACTCGTAGCCCCCTAGGTGATTGGCCATATGCTACAACAGATTCTGCTGCCTCCGCCTTTTGGACCTGGAACAACACAAGCAACACTGTCACTGTGCAGCTAGTGCCATATGCACTGTGCAAGGAGAAACATCAGATTGGCACCCTCGCGGTTGTCGATGCCCATCCAGGGACACCACCGGTCACTCCGTTTGTGACAACGCACAACACCCACTACCAGCGAAACTACGTCCCGCTGGCCCACTTCCCATCCCGTATTTGTGCGTCTCCGTAAGGCGGCCTTTTGACCTTCAGCGTCCGTGCAATCATGCGTGGAAGTTGTTTCTGGAATTCCGTTTGTGCTGACGTCCGTTTCTTTCCCACCACCAGCCTAGGTCCTCCAGTGTGACGTCCCATGCCAAGTTCGGTGATGCCACACAACGATTCTATTGTTGCGTCATCATGTCCTCACCGCGGTCGCTTGACAAGTGACAGCCGCCACAGCGTGGACCGTACGGCCATTCGCATTACATATAAACGGGGCCCCTCCAACCACCCGGCTACCTGACAGTCTATTGCTCATAGTTCCATGGTCGTGTAGTTGGGTAGTTCTGCCACTGGCCCCCACCGGGGTAGGATTTGTACACACCGCAAAACAAAAACTAGTCATGCAATGTGCAGCTGCTCTAAAGTTTCTGTGTCGGAAACTCTTCTCCACAGTCTGAAAGACAATGTAGAGTCTTCCAGCTCCAGATGATGAGCGCGCAGAGCAACCAACGAGAATGGTAAGAAAACATTCACTCAAAAGTGGGGGGGTGCATGGTGTGGGCGGAGAGGTATGCCTCACCATAGCAAAATGACTTCCACTCCTTGGCCGCCGGCAGCGAACAGGCCAGCTGTTGTGCGTAGCGCTGGGTAAGCTCTTAGCTACGTGTGCCTTTCTAAAACCGAAAGGCAATCCATGTGGAACTGATTGAGTATCATTGGATGCATAAAGAGCAACTCTGTGCACCCATCAATTGTTGATGAGGCGTCATGAATTGCATTAAGGACATGGATGAACGGACTGGATATAAGGGACAGAACTCCTGTTATCCCTTTGCCCTCCTGTCACACGTTGCCGTGTACTCGAGCCCACCGTCCCCGGTCAGGGGTCGCCACCTCTCGACCCTGCGGGCCTTCGTCTGTGTTTTGATGGCATTGATGGACATGCCATCAACGTCTGGACGTCCAGACTGCTGATTTGAATCCCGCTTTGGAACCAGGTGCACATCAAGTCCTTCACGTTTTGGCGCCCGAAGCCACCTTTTCCACACCACCTAGGGGAGACGACGGACGCGCAGCCCGGACGGCGCAGGCCAGGACACACGGCGGCTGGCGGCTCTCCGTTCACCGGCTGGATCGCGAAACGAGGCTCATTCTACTCTGCTGGCTGGCCTCTTCGGCAATTTCTGGGCGCTTCAGATTTGCCGCACCCCGCAGAGGGTGCCGACAGGGCTGGCGAGGCGGCCCGATCGGGGCAGGCGCAGGCGGCGCGGCATTGACGTGTTTGGAAGGTGGGGACCTATCGAGGCATCTTGAGGCGCTGGCGCTTCCAGGTCGTGAGCACGAGGTGTGCGGGCCTTGGGGGCCTGCGTGATGGGCGCCGAACGTCGGTGTCTCGCGCGAGCGCGTTAGGCTTCGGCCCTCGCGAAGGCCCGGTGGCGCCCCTGATAGACGATCGGTTTTGCGCTGGACGGAGAAAGATCCCTTTGCTTGATGACTCGGTATCGTCCACGCGAACGCGCCCCGGAAAACCGCCTTGCGGGTCGTTCGTTGATATGCCCGGCCCCGGCCAGTGCGCGCTGGAGGGCGCCGGAGTCGCGTCCTGTGTCCTTTCGGCGGCCTGCGGATTCTCATGCCGCGCGGACGCTTCGCGGCGTCCAGCGTCTGAGGCACCAGATCGAATCCCCTCAAGAAGACGAAGGGGCGGAAATCTGGCGACGGATCGCGCGGCGATTGACGGCCCGCCGTCGGGCTCTGCGCCGGTTTGGAAAGGGCATCTCGCCGAGTCGATGGGCGCCTGTTGGCGCCCGCGGCGCCCTGCTGGAGTGTTGGGGCCGCGAGGTGCGATGCGGTGCTGATCACTTTGGCGTCACCAAAGTGCAGGGCACGGCGCTGCGGAAAGCGGCCACACATGGCCCCCGGCGTTGCGACTCGAAGCCAAACAGAGTTTGAGGCAGGAAGGTAGCTGCCAACCCGGAGCACACAACACCGAATGACTGGCGGTTGTAGTTACGCGCTGTTTCTGGGTCCAGCCTGTGTTTGGCCTTCATCGGCCTTGTTGAAGTAAACCAGACACACACACGCTTTGGCGCGGCTACCGGCGCCCTGAACTTCTTTTGTACCACACTTGTCAGAGTAGCCACGTCGAGCAGATCCCTTGCACCTGGCAGGCGATCTCGCGCACAGAAACATCCATCACAGTTTGCGTACATAGGAAACTCGTTCCGCACACTGCCCAGTTGCACAACGCGAGCAGGGCAGCAGAACATCTACTGGCAGTGTTTGAGTTGTGTTGAGTGGGGAGTGCATGCCTGGCATCAAAAGAGCGGATGAACCTTTGTACTGATTGACTTCCCTTTGTTGGCTCACCAGGAGCGTTCCAAGATGGTTGTCCGTCCGCTGGATTTTCGCCCTGGCCCCATGACAGCAAAGCAGTCCAAAGATCGCTGCGTCCGAGCAACAAGCAATGAGGTTGCAAAGTAAGGTCACGGATGAAGGTGGCCTTTTCATTTGCTGCTGTGGGTATCCATGATATGAAACCCCTGCAAATGCTGTATCAGCTGTCACTAGCCCTTGTTACTTGATGAAGCCATTTTTTTGTACAGGCGGCCATCCAACTCTGGCAACTCGTTGTTTGGGCAGAATTCTCATGCAGTGGGTGTGAGTTCAATGTGTTAGGTGTGGGCAGACGTTGCTGTAGGGACACATAATTGACCTAAAGTGCCACTTAAAGATGGCATCTTCCATGTGGTTGTCAATCGCTTGTGACATACCACAACGGGTGCACGTTGCTGCAAAGGAGGACTGTGAAAGTTGGGGATCTGTCTATCAATTTCTTTGTTGCTGAGGGCTGCAGTCTCACACGCAGTGTGAGACACTCATTCTCCTGATGTGTGGCATAAGCTCAGGTCAAGCTTCCTATTTGTTTTCCGTTCACGTTTCTGGCATGCAGAAATTGTGGGCGCACTGTGAGAGCAGAGTGGGCTCAGATTGATTGAATTTGTCAAGACCTGTTGAAGCATTACTGTTTTCACCTATTACGCGATGTGGGTTTATCAGAGAAGTGTGAGGAAAGTGGCAGGTTAGTGCATGTATTCATGAGCATGATCGGCCACATGGCCACTAGTGATGCACTCCATGTGCGACAGTTGATACTGCTATCAAAAGAGTGAGTGGCACTCCAAGATTCGCGATGAGGCTTGGAGCCATATCAACCAGGTGGTTGTCGATCTACCACTGTGCATTGGGGATGGTCCACACTGTGTTTATTGGCCAACTGATGAGACTGCTGACTCATTGTTTCTGTTGTACTCCCAACAGCCTACTTGCATCCAGGGATTTTGAGCAGTGGCTGGATGGAAAGCGGCAGTCCACAGCCCGTGCTTGGAGGATCACTTGTGTGTTTGCCCTTCTCTTGGCGGCAGCATCAGCCACGTCTTTCAGCTTCTATGGCCAGATGCATGGCATGCAGGATCAGCTGTTGAACGTGGAGGTCGATGCCGGCAAGTTGCTTCAGCCATCTTGTGTGCCCCCCACACCAAACTCAAAAGTCACAGCCAATGGCAATGGACGCCTGCAAGAAGTTCATGGCGATGGGAAGAACGATGAATCGAAGCAAAGGCATTCGCAAACGAGCCAGTGCATGCTAATGGCAATGACACTGTTGCAGGTACGCATGCATTTTGATGCTTCAGGAATCGCATGCGTATGCTGGTACAGTTGATGCTTGGTGCAAGCTTGTAGGGCAAGCTCAACTCAGTGGCGGTAGCAACAACCACCTTTGAAGCTCCTATGCTGTTTTCTTCCATGCAAGTGACTAATTCTCAACATGTGTGCAGGGGAAAGGGCTGGATGAAGCAATGTTTGAGGGCTGCATACATGCATTTAGAGGCCCAGCCCTGTGGTCGACTTGTATAATGGCAGTGATAGGATTGTCTGCACTGGCAAGGCACTGGCGGCTGCTTCGGCAGTTGAAAGACACCAAGGAGGAGCTGGTGGTTGAAAAGAAGAAGGCACAAGAGGCTGCAAAGCTCATTGAGGCGGCACACCTGGAGAAGAAGCGGGTCAGACCTGGTGTCTTTGCTTTCAGCAATTCTCAAATGGCTTTTTAGCTAGTTGACACACCCTAGTCTGTTCACCCGTTGTTGTGGTTTGTTTGGGCTCAGCGGTTTTGTGTCTTCCAGATGTTGACGTGAGGGTTGCCATGCATTTTTGACAAGCATAGTGAGGTCTTTGTAGACTGCTAGCAACTGCTGCTGCCTGATCATCTGAGGTTCATCAGAGACACATGCCAGGGCCATTGCAGCTTTGTTATATTCTGCCTGCAAGGGCACTTTCATTCATACCATTCCCACAGGCATGACACAAGAGCAGAAGGCCACTGGTGCTGTGGACAGTATTCTCTGTGTGCCTCTAAACAGTATTGCTTTCCCCTTTGGAATGGCTGGCATCGACAACTGTGGCCTGTGTTTCTTATTGCTTGTGTTTGCTATCCTTCTGGGCAGATTGTTGTGACCGTAGTTGCTGTCGATGTTCACAATGGAATGAAGGCTTTTGTGATATGTGGAGGGAGGCATACACTGATACTCATAGAGGAAGACACACATGATAACCAGGAACTCCACACTTGGTGTTAACTTACGGCTGTGCACAGGGCGAGGGTCCCTACCTCGATCCAAGTCAACTCAAACCAAACCACTCTGAAGAATTGATTTCATTTGACTGCAGTGCAACAACAAATTGTGTTGAAAGTGTTCTCATGAATGCAGCAGTGGAATGAAACCGACCTTGGCTGCCCGCAACCACATTCCTGCAGACCTTTGCAAGACTACTCCCAAAATAATGGACAATCATGTGGAACTGTGGTTTGTTTTGTTGTGCCTGCCCTTGTCTGTTCTGTTAGAGGGCTGGGGCACCAATCATGGCAAAACAATTCCCTTGTTCTCTCCCAAAGGGCAGAGAGCTGACTGCATGAATGCACAGGCAGCTCGTTTGGACCAGTTGAAGGAGGAGCGTGCAGTTTTGGAGCCCCAGGCAGAGGGTCTGGAGGCAGCAGAGAAGGAACATGAGCAATTGGTGATCGCCGCAAACCGTGTGGCAGAGCTGGAAGACAGAATGCGTAGGCTTCCAGCACTGAAGAAGCAGGAAGAGAGCCTCACCAAGCAGTGCAGAGAGGTGGACGAGCAAGCGGCCAAGGTCGCAGGAAAGGTGGCCATCTTGGATGCGGTAGGTCTACATGTTGAGAGTTTGTGCATGAAGAGAGTGGCTTCCCTGTCTGCATCTATTTGGTGCATCAAGTTTTTTCTCACATTTGGTTGAGCGTGTGTCAGCTGATGCGCTGACTTGCGTTTGCATATCGGTCTGCATGTTTCCAAGACAGCGTGTAAGGTTGCTGTCTGACAATATCTGCAGCAGATTTCCACATTGATATTGTCAGTGGAGCTTACAAGATGTTTTGTTGTTGACTGCCACTGTTTTTGTATTCATGCGCTGTTTTCTTTTCCTGCAAGGCAAGTGAACTGGTCAGATGGTCTTGTTATTGCAGTTCATTTGTCACCAGTAGAAACATCAACTTGACGATGGTGCCAACTGCGATTCCATTTCACACTAATTGATGCCATCACAGTTGATGGCATCGCAATACGCACTGACATCAGACATCATTGTTATGGTGCCACTTAGTGTCAAAATGGCATCACAGCTGGCATGGCCAGAATTGTTGTTTCAGTCTGAGTGTGGTTTGTTGGTATTTGCCTGGTCTTGTAATGAAATGCCCGAATTCTGCTGCCATATCATGCAGAGTCTGCAGGCAAATTTGACGATGCGACATGAGTAATGGGTGCTTTGCTGATTGTTTGTGGCTGCCTCCATCTTCTCCTCTTCCAGGTCACAGATCACTACAACACGGCGAAGAGGGATGCAGACTCAGTTGATCAATTGTTGCTGGAACTAGGGAATAAACATGAGGAGATTGCAAAGAAGGTCAAACGGGTCATGGAGGTGCAAGGCCAGGTGTCCAAACTTGAAGAGGAAGCGAGCAAACTTGCTAAGGTGAAGATGCCGCCACCAGCAATGAATGCTCGCCATGATCGAGAGCTGTCCAGACTAGACAACCTGTATATGCATGTGTGCAGATTGCGTCGTCCTGGAATTTTACATTGTCCTGTAACATTGATGGTAAATACTACTATTCTGACTATTTGGCACGGTGCTCCCAACTGCACGGGGCTGGCAGTTTTGCAGACAATTTTCACTTCTTGTCAAAAACCTGGTTTCCCATTTTGTGTTGCTGCATCTCCTGCAATCCTTGTTCTGGACTTCTGTGCCTAGAGGTAGTTGCACACTGATACAAGGTGTGGTGACCTGTCTTGTTGTAATTGATGCTATCAGGGTGGGTTCACACCACTGTTGACTGACAAATCTATGAATGGAACAACAGACAGATGGGGAGTTGAAGGAGAAGATGGCCAGACTGAGTGCCATGCGTGAGGACATTGAAAACCTGAAAGCAGCTGTTGAGGAACTTCCTACACTTGGAGATGCCACAGCCAGCAAAAAGGGAAATCTGGTGAGGACTGCGTGCATCGAATGTGCTCATCAAAATATCGCGAATCCCTGCCATTATGGCAGTGTTTTCCCTCCTGAAATTTACCGATCCTGCTCACTGTTGAAGAACCTCAGATACCCTAGGTTCACCTGAGCATGTATGCATGCTCTGAGCGATGATCGTCAGCTGGTGCTGCACAGCGTGGGGCTTGCATGAGACTTGTACCTAACACATGATATTTAGTGCCTGCTGGAGTACTGGATATTGGACATCCTCCATGCTCCTGACATCCATCGCTTTCAAGCTTGTACAACACTGCTTGGGTCATTGTGCACAGGGCATGCCCCAAGCTGCTGTGAAGGCCATGGACACCACTCGAATGTCTCCTGGGCCAGACGAAGTGCCTCCTGGATCTGCTACTGAGGCACGTGTTGGATGAGTCATCTTCTTGGCAGCGATGGAAACCACTGTGTGATTTGCACACTTCTCCAAGAGCATAATCGCATTCCCTAACCTGGGGTCCGCAACAACAAGAGCAGATGTGTAGTTAGAGTGTTGTGTGGACTCTTCGTCGTTAGAGAGACTCATGTTCACGGAAAGCAACAAAGTTTGGACAACCCACTGTTGTGACTTGCAGTGTGAAGCCGCTTTGTTGCTGTTTCCATTATCGGAGCTCTCCTGCAAGCTGTGGTGTTCTGCTCTCTTGCCCATTGCTTCAGCATCTCTTGCTGCCCTGCTAGTCAACTACTGTTCCAGCGAGGGGATAAATCTTAGTCATGATCACAGGCTACAATGAAGGCAGAAGATGGAGTGGCTTGGCTTTGCACATCTGCCTGAACCCTGGCAACAACGATCTGGCACCTTTTATGCACATGCTTGTCATGGCTGAAAATAATGGTTGGTTCGAATACAACTACGAGCACAGCCTTGCAGTACTTGGAACCTGGAATGGTTGATCGCAGGGTCCACAATGGAAAGACGTAGTACACACCACAAGCACCAGGTGTACATAAGTATGATGTATGAATTGGAAATCAAGATGGAGAGCAAAGAGCCTCAATATCAGCTGAAGACATTCGTTTGGGAAATTTGTGTCGTGCACCACTCGACTTCACCCATCCATGGGGCTCAGTCTCATGGTGGGCATTGCCATCGACAGCTTTCTCGTTCCAACGTGGCCGTCTCCCTGGATCCCAGCCCCTTGAGCATGATTGCCTCTGCACCGTAGGCCCCAGGACTCGCCCCCTTGGGCCCTGCGTCGCCCCAGCAGCACTCGATATCTACAGACGCACAATCAGAACGCCTGGTCGCGACGCCCGGCGACAAGCACCTGCCCATGGAAACGAATGCCCACAAGCCCGAAAAGTCGATGCTTCCCAAGCCGCCATCTGCACCCACGGCACACAATCGGCAAAGGGGATCATCGCCGCAGGAATCGACTGCCGGGAGCGTCGACGGCGCTCCTGACGATTCTGACAAGGCGTCAGAGGCTTCCAGCATTCGCAATCAGGACCTGTTGGCGTCTTTGGATGCATTCGGCTCGAGGATGGTGGGCGCCAACTTGGTGGATGCGCCGGTCATTGATTCGAGTGAGGGCCAGCCGGGCAAAGCTGGCGCCAGGGCGAAGGGCAAGGCTGCGCCCGTGGGTGGTCCGGCTGAGAAGCAGAGGAAAAAAGCCAACGACAAGGGGAATTTTCTGGGCAATGTGTTCCGCTGGGGAGGCAAATGAACCTGTAGGCGGTGGTGGCGAGCAGTAAACGTCCAGGACCGGAGCTACCCGACTGCTGGTGGTGCTCAGCGGTCGTCTAGTCGGTAAGGCTGGCGCAGGGCCTTCCCTGTGGTGTTCAGCGCGTCACCCGTGTGTGCATCGCAGGTGGGCGCGTTGGCAGTGTGGCTGAAGATGCGGCCATTGGAGCGAAGCTGGCGGTCAGTTGAGAAGATGGTGCGCAGCTCGTTCGCGCACAGTACTCGACGTGTGGCTGCGTGTCCTTGATGAAGGCGTTGGTGTTGAGTGGTCCGCATGGGCCCGAAGACGGGGAATTGGTGGGAGGGGACTGCATGAGCTGGATTGCGGCATTGGTGGGTGTGGTCCAGCGGAGGGGGTGCACACTCAGAGTACAGATTGCAGGTGCAGAAATCAGGGTCATCGTTTGCTGGCATTGTCAGCAGCGTGTCAGTCGCGTGATCAGCATGAACAGTACTTGACATGGAGTTTGTTACTGGCCAACAACCTCTTGTGCTGCGGTTGAAGAAGTGGCATAAGCGGGGGCAGTGCACTACTTGATGTGCAACATGGCATGGCAGACGAAGCTGTTTGCCGTTCGTCGATGCCCAGCATGTGCGATGGGAGGAGAAGTTCTTCTTTCATCTGTAGATTAGAGGGAGGCAATGTCGTGTGCAATTACTTGCTAAACCGAATGGAAAACTGAGTTTGCGGGCATCCATCTCTGCAAAGCATTTGTGACTTTGAACGCCAAACTCACTGACAGCGATGTTTAGATACTAGCATGCAATCTGTAGTTCGTTTGAAACGGTTTTATGGGATCGATTTGGGCAGAAGCCGACGTTTTAGACAACCGCGAGCATGTTTCAATGTGCTCCTAATCAGCGGATAACTAGAAACCAAGAGAAGACCATCTGCGAGTTGGTGGTGTGGGAAGGCGCTGTGTTCGACACAATGTATGCAAGCAACATCTGGAGAACCAAAGGGACCAACTGGGGGGCAGTGGTGTGGGATGGCGCTCTGCAGCTGTCAGCGATGTACATTGGTCGCCAACCAATGCCTGGCTGAGTGTGAACCTTCATTTGGCCAGCTGATGGGACAGCAGAATTTTTGAACCCAGGGACATTGCCGGGGAGGGACCGAATTTTGAGCAGGAAAAGAATGACAACCTTCCGAGGGATTTTTTCCATTGTTACCATTTGTAATAGTGTTGTAACGTTTTCAGTTGACGATTGTTGTTGGCGATTGTGGTACGTGTTCGATGTTCCTGAAACATCAATGGACCTCACCAATGCAGCAAGAACCTTGCTTTTCCACAGCATCTGATGTGCAGCCATTCTGGTAAGCTTTCAAAGGTCAATCCCAGAATACAGACAGTGCTGCCATCATTGGGAATGCAAACCAACTCATGCTGGCATCTACAACCGCTTGCACATGCAGCCTCCAGATGCGCAATCTGTCCGAATGTGCATCCAATACCTCTCAATTCAACTACATCCCACACCTCCGCGCTTTCAAATCTGGTACAACGAAAACTTGATCGGTTGACAGCAATGCAACTACTCAGTATCTGCATCCACCGCCCGTCCGCTCACTACACGTCAAATGCTCTGCAATTGGAGCTCCTGTGCAACGAAAGCTGATTGGCTGACAACCAAATTGTGATTCAAGCTAACTGTGATCCAGCGTCAGCTCCAATCTTCAAAATGGAAACTCACAGAGAATATCCAGCCCAGACTCCATACATGAGCCATCGACAAAGTGGAAGCACGACAATAAGTATCCGCTCCCCAACTGTGAGTTCAACCTCCTAATAATTGGCATGCATGCAGCAGATGCTGCCCCACCAAATGCGGGTGCTGAGCCTAGGTCCCCCAAAGAACAGTCTCTGTCACTGATGACGCGCAATAACAGACATCAAAAGCATCATCATCGTCATGAATAGTGCGCCTGGGCGTCCCGAGACACACATGATGGCCGCTTATATAAAGTCTGGCGGATCACAGCACGTGGGGAAGAATACCCTCAAGAACCACCCCCGCGTAACTGGGTTCTCGGCTTCCTTGAACCATTTTTGAATGCTGGGATTGCTGACGGCTCCCCACCAGCCATGGAAGTCTACCCAATATGGCACATTCTCGTCCACCTGCGGGCAGCCAACGAGCAGTGCTTTCTCACTTCAAATTGAACCCGTCATGTTTGAACACCCACAACGCATCAGCTTCAGCATCCTTCTGACCTGCAGAAGAAGTCCCAATGCCTCTGTTCTCCAACTCTGGTGGCGACTGCATGACTCCATCTCTATGTTCCACAAAATGCGATACCAGACTGCATTATATTTCTGTAGTGCGACCGCCCACGCGAATGGGGGAAAGTGTTGTCAGCAGTGGCATCAGAAATTTCGTTCTCGAGCAATGAGCTACCCCACTTCATCTGTTTGAATTTCCTGCTGATTGGACAGGCACGTATCTCTCCCCATCCTGCCAGGCATACACTGGTAGGCCTGCCGCTGCCGTTGGACCTATCCACAGGATATGGACTAATTGGACATCTATGCGCACGGGCTGGAGACATGATGCTAATTCAATATTGAACACTACCGTTAATGATGACAGCCCAGAAGCCTAATGGACAACCTGGGGGTGTTGCATGGTCATGTAACGCCCCCAATGGCGTTGCACTTTCATGTGAAGTGACAAAAGCCCACATCTCTTCTATTAGTACAGGTCGGAACCTCGACTCTCTATTTGACTCGGCTCCTGGTGCTAGCGTTGGTGCTCATCAGGTCATTTTTCCAATCCCGATTGTCACGTGACATATGAAACGCGTTCTGCTCATGCGTGCTGCGGCAGGGCCGCCCTTCAGCGCTGAATGCTGCGTTGGCAAATTATTGCGTACTTCCATCCTTCATGGGGCCCTGAACCGCCTTGTGCTGTCTAGCAGTGTGGCCAAACGGCCCAACAACTCCTACTATGGCAAGTGTCGGGCGTGATCTCCACAGGGTGATGCAATGGTTGGAACAACTTGCAAAGTATTGTCACAGGGCAATATTAAACTGATAGCTGCTGGATCAGTCCCATACGCTTTATTTATGGCAGTGGTTGCCACGCCCACCTGAACATCCTCATCGGCATCACTCGCTGACCCCCGCGGGTTTTTGGGCAGCGCAGATCCACGAGAACCCACAGTCGGCACGGTGGGAGCCAGAGAGCTCAGCAGGACAACTTTTTTGGGCCTCCAGACTGGCCCTTTGCCGTCGCAGTGGTCATTGACAAGGTAGAATATCCGGGGCTGCCAATACCAGGCATGGCAAACAACAGTCAACGGTTGCTGTTACTGTGAGTGAATAACAGATAGGATGGAGCAGGCGGCGATTTAGAGCGCATCAGACCAGTGTATACACTGCACGGTTCAATTTCTCTTTGATATCAGGTGGGCGATACGCTGGTCTGAATGCAGCAGCAAGACTCCAGGATGTGAGTACACCAGAGCAGCCACCCGTCTTGAGAGTGCATGCCAGTCAACGGTCCGAAGCTCAAAACCAAAACCATTTTGCTGCACACCATGTACGCCCACAGGGGTTCTGTGCAACATCTCCTCAGTGGCCAATTTCGAACATCACGTTCCCTGCTGAGTTCGACGTCATGTGGCTTTCCCACACACCGTACGCCCTCAAAATTCAGGACCGCAGCACCCCACTTCCCTAGTCCCCGTGCCATTGTGTGAAGTTCATATCTATGCAGGTGCAAGCAGAAATCCCCAAGTTCCCTGTGTCAGATGGAAGATGAACTACAATGGTCCTCAACGAAATGTGTGGCACAAGTTTTCCGTGCTTTACTTCAACAGTCATTGGCCACAATCGGCTAAGCAATCTGCCACAAACCACAGACTTACTTGGACGCCTGGCTTCGGATAGCACCCGTGCCCATTAAGTGCACAGTAGGTGACTGGCCTGCCTTTGCTCATGGGTATCTTGGATGCTGGCACCCAGTCGCCATCAATGGTCCTATGCGCACTGTAGTACATTCCTTCGCCACAAGACAGGACACCTCAGCTGCCTCCTTTGCTGAGGGAAGTCGTGCCAAGATTTGGCCAAATAAGGAGGTCCCATGTAATGCACTGCATCCATGGTATCCTCTCTGTTGATACAAAACGCCCTAGGATTCTTTTGAGCACAGATTGTTCCGTGTTTTGTGTCCATTGTGTCACGAACAATTCTTGCATTTAGTGGAAAAGAGTCCACGAGAATTGCCAGATGGGTACCGCCTGGTGCATGATCTATCTTTCCTGTCGCGCAAAAGCAATCAAGTTAAGCAACATATATTTAATAAAATAGGATGGGACAAAAATGATGGGAGCAACATGGTAACCTATTCCTGGAGCACATTCGAACGATTTCCGAGTGTGTGTGGATTCAATCAGCGATTATGGCCTGAATGTGCACACAACGAATGTGCAAACATGAATGAGACGGTGCTGAAGGCGTGTGGTTGCATGACGTTCCTGTTGGCTCAGCAGTGTGCAAGAAATGCAAATGCTCAAAAGCAAGAGGCATCTGAGAGCGTGATCACTCAAGCACCTGGTCCCTTGTGTGCAACCATCGCGGTTTCAACAGCAACTGAAAGCGTGTACATGCTTGCATCTGTTGACTCATCCAGAGATTTCCATTCTCTGGCTCGAAGATCGTTCTGGCAGGGGAACCTTATTGCAGCCAGCATGTTCTTTCCCTGCGACTGATTGAAAAATACCCGCTTTCTTCACGTGTTCAGATTCGTCATGGATAATTCTGCTGTCTTTCTGTTCAGCACCTAGGGATGGTTTGTGTTTCGGTAACAGCGTTGCAAACCCTTGCAGAAACGCAATCCACTCGAAACGAGCGTGACAACTTGACGACCTGACAACACTGATACCTGAGCAACAGTGTTTCCAAAGCCAACATTCGCACAAGCTGCCACAATCACTGTCAACCCAGTTTCCATGGGGTCGCCATCGGTTGCGACACGCCGAGCGCGATCAAACGCTGCTTCCGACCACTGCAGTTTTTTTCTGGCTTTGCAAGCCGTGGCAGTCCATGTCACTCTCCCGAACGTTACGCCGACGCTGCCAGCACCAGGGGCAGCTGAAGAACAGAACGCAGCTGTCACTGGCGCTGTTGTGCTTTCCTGTTGCCATCGACGGGGAGTGGGGCAGAGTGCGGGGGTGAATATCGACCTCCCAGTCGAAATACAACCTTCGCCAGGACTCCGCGACCCTCATACGGTTCCTGGCACTCGTCACATCCCCTAGAAAGGAGGGCCCGATTTTGCGAACGCGAGAATTCCACGTCTTCACACTGAAAACGCGAAAGACGCCGTATTGATTTTTTTTCACTGCGCGGCATTCCCACGTCTCAGCGTTGAGCGTGACCTGTTTCTGTTCATCCCTTCCCGCGCTTCGACACACGGGCATCAACCACAACCCGCCAACCTAACCTACACACCAGCACCTTAGTTCCCTCCGGCAGCGAGCGTCACACATCGACCGCCTGGGGCCATTCCCGGAACGTGCCGCGCACCAGCCGCCCTCACAGCATCCCCCACATGTGCGCGGCCCCAATGTCCGTGCGCAGCTGGCGCAGTACTTTGGGACCTTTCCAACCCACCTCCCCAACCCATGGCGTGCTTCCCAGCGCGCTTCCCCCAACTCACTCCCCGCGTCGACCACACCTTGCCCCCCGTCCAGCCCCCTCCCCCCCACCCTCACCACACCACACACCTTGCAGCTCTCCAGACGGGTCCAACCGCACCGTCAGGTGCTCCCAGTCCGCGATGTGCTGCCCCGCCTCGAGCACCCTGGCCACCCTCAGGTTGCCGTTGAAGATGAAGAAGAACGCGTACACCACCTCCAGCGCCTCCACGCTCCCATTAGCCGCCTTGACCTCTCTCACATGGCCATAAATCGGCACCTCTGGGAGATCGCTCAAAGTTGCCTTGGCGCGGTCGCCCTCGTGCACCACCAGCTGCAGCACCCCCTTGTCGTGCTCGGCGGCCGCGGCCATTAGGTTCTCGCGGGTCAGCTTGCCGGTTTCCACCAGCACATCGTGTGTGAGCGGCTCGGGGCCCTGGCGCTTGAGGTCGTGGCTCAGCTTCCTCAGCTCTGCGACGCCCAGGAAGGTCTCCACGCTGGTGGGGAAGTAGCGCTCCCGGCTGTGCAGCCGTATCTCGGGCACGTACTTGGCCAACAGCCGGCGGTGCAGGTCAGTGGCCATGGGGGATGGATCACCCAGGTGGGACGCCGGGCGGCGTGCTGTGGGGAGGGGGGGCGGGAGCGATGCTCGTGCGACGCTCTGGAGGTGGTGCCCAGTCGTCGGGTGGGTGGGCAAAGGGCGTCACTGCTCTTCGGGAGGGCTGGGGTCAGCGTTTTTGTCCGCCTGGTTCAGGGGACCGACGCAGGCGCATGTGGAGCGAAAGATGATGGCGGAGAAACGTCTCATACTGATCAGAAGGCGATGGGACGCGACAGCCAATGACGTGCGTGGCGTGACGTGGTGCGCGCCTGTGACGCCACGTGGCGCCAAAAGGTATCGGAGCGCGTGGTCGGCCCCCGTCACTGAGCACGGAACAGTGACATTGACCCAGGGGAAGTGCAGCGCTGTGAGCCGCGGCTCGCCGAGGTGCCGCGGCTTGGTGTCGTGAGCGCGCGTCGCACGAAGCTTCAGCGTGTTGGCGACACGTCAGATGCCGGCATAGCAGAACATGTGTTTTCTGGGGGAGGGGCCTAATCTTGAATGGGACAAGAACGACAGCTTTTAGAGGGAAGTTTCCATTGTTACCGTTTGTGTGGTGTGTAACGTTTTTCAGTTGACAATTGCCGCTGTCGCTGATGGCACCAGCGAAATGTGCCCGATGTTCCAAAAGCAACAATGGGCTTCACCAATGTGGCAGCACCTTGCTTTCCCACAGCGTCTGAGTGTGGCCACATCTCTATGCTTACAAAGATTAATACAAAAGTACAGGCAATGTTGCCGCCATTGGTAGCACAATTCAACCCGTGTTGGGATCTACAACGCCAGCCGCTACTGCATTCACCCTCCAGCAGCGTATCGTGCTTATCTCTGGATCCACTACTTCTAAATTCAGCTGCATCCAGCACTTCTGCGCTTTCAATTCTTGTGCTTGATCGGTTGACAGCAATGCACTTCCCAATATCTGGATCCACAACGTGTCTGGTCGCAACACATCAAACTGCTCTGCAGTTCAAGTTCCTGTGCAACGAGTGCCGGTTGGTTGACAAAAAATTGGGTGGTTGAAGCTAACTGCGATCCAGCATCAACATCCACAAAGCACATCCAGCCCAGACTCCTATATACTACAATCGGCAAAGTGGCAACACAACGGTTGCATTCCCTTCCTCAGCTGTGAGTTCATCCCCATAATAATCGGCAGGCATGGCAGCAGAGGCTGCCCACAAAATGCAGGTGCTGAGCTTAGTTCCTTCAAAAACCAGTCCCTGTCACTGATGTGCAACTACACAATATGAAACACCATCGTCGTCATGGAAGCCGGTGTCCCCAGGCATCCTGACACAATGCAAGCCTCGCTGCCCTCTCATCCGAGTTACTTGCCCCTGCTCTCATTGAATTGCCCAGAACATGATTACCTGTCGCCATGTGTCAAAGACATGGCAGCCGCTCAAATCGCTTCTGGTGGATCAAAGCACGTGGGGAAGAACACCCTCCGGAACCACCCCCGCGAGACTGGGTTCTCCGCTTTTTTGAACCATTTTTGATGACAGGGGTTCCTGACGGTTCCCCACCATTCGTCGAAGTCCACCCAATATGGCACGTTCTCGTCAATCTGCGGGCAGCCAACAGGCAATGTGTCCTCATTTCCAATTGACATGCACCATGTTTAAAAACACGCACAGCGCATCCACGTCAGCATCTTTGTGACCAGCAGAAGAGGTGTGAGCCCTGCACTCAAATTCTTGTGGCGACTGCGCAGTCATCGTTCATGCATGATTGCAACATTTTGCTCCACATGCCAGGCGCCATACAAGGCATCGTTGCATTTCTGGAGCACGTTCCAACGGGTGAAACCGTTTTCGATGCATCCTTGTCTCTACACAAAAATGACATCATGGCACACGGCGGAATCGTTGAAGGCCGCCCTTTGGTACGCACATATGAAAGGACACCAGTAATTCCGCCCTTGTATATTGAACAACCCCACTCCGTTTGTCTGCCATTCCTGTGCATTGGACAGGAACACACTCCATCTGATCCTCCCGGGCATGCATTGGTAGGCCTGCCGCTGCCGCTGGCCCCATGTATTCGATGAGGACAAATTGGACATCTATACGCGTAGGATGGAGACATGATGCTGATTCAATATTGAATATTATCATTGCTGATGACTTTAGAGTACACTAAAGAGCAATATGAAGCGTTGCATGGTCATGTGGCGCTCTTCATGGCGTTGCACTTTCTTGTGGAGTGGCAGAAGCTCACGTCTCTTCGATTACGACATGACGGCACCCTGGCTCTCAAATGTGATGTGGTAATCAAGAATGGTGAAAGGAGCTGACGAGCTACAGTAGCAGCACCACATGCCGTGTCAAATAGGAACGCTCCTTATCCGTGTTGTGGCTGGGCCCTCCTGTAGTGCTGAATCCTCTGACGACAAATTGGTGCACACTTCGTATTGTGACCAGCCCTTCGCGGGGCGTTCACCACCTGACATTATCATGTAATTACAGGATACATTATAGTGTGGAAAATCACCCGAACAACTCTTCTATGTTGGCCAATATGGGACGCGATCTCTTAAATGCGCTGTAGGCATTCGGAACAACTTGCAAACTGTTGTTGCAGGGCAACAAATTGAGAGCTGCTGGATTAGTGCCGACCACTTTGATTTCAGCAGGGATTGCCTCACCCACCTCAACAGCCTCATCGGTATCATCGGTCGACCCCCTGGCCGCAGCCAGCCGCTGATTCTTGGGCAGGGCAGATCCACGAGAGGCCACAGGATCCGCTTTGGGAGGCAGACTGCCCAGCAGGACAACCTTTTGGGGCCTCCAGACTGGCCCTTTGCCGTCGCAGCGGTCATTGACAAGGAAGAATATCCGGGGCTACAAGCAGCAAGCAGGGCAAACAACAGTCAACGAGTGGTGCTAGCAGGTTTGTTACTTACAGCGTAAACACTCGTGCATTTACGCCTATTTATGCACAAAAATTGCTTTTGCTCTTTCGCACGTGACTAGGCGTAAAAATGGGGCCCTTGGACCCAAAGACAGTACAATCCGACTCGGGGAGTCCGGGGAGTGGCGGCTAGACGCGCTGAAATGTGCAGAAAATGACTTCTTTCTTCTCGGCAACGTCGTCGCCCTGGCTGAGGGAGAGGTGGACGCTGTGTTGCCAGTGCTCTAGGGTTTGAAGATCTCATCGTTGTTTGGGACATCATCATGCACTCTGAGCGGATCGGGAGCCGGAAAAATTGAATCCAGCAATTAGATGCCAGGATGTGAGCACGCTCGTGCATCTACCCAAAGCTCGAGAGCGCATGCTACTCAAGCGCATCCACCACGCGGGGCCCAACAACAAACTGAACTCCAAAGCCAATTATTGCACTTCATGCACACCCAGCGTGACTATGTGGAACATCCTATTTGCGGCCAGGTTTGAAGCTCGAATCTCCCTACTGTGTTCAACATCCCGAAACTTGCCCAAGCAACATTCGCCCTACAATTCAAGCATTCCTGCTTGTCCTTTTGCCATTCAATTAATCTCATGTGCATACTGATGCAAACAAAGATCTACAATTATACTCTGTATCAGGTGGAAGATGAACTCCAGTACTCGGCAACGAGATTTTGCGGTATGGCTTGTCTGTGCTCTTCTTCAGCCATTGACTGTATCCGCTAAGAAATCACCACAGACCATCAACATACCTGGATCCCTGGCTTGGGAAAGCACCCATGCCCATTAAGTGCACAGTAGGCGACTGGCCTGCCTTTGCTCATGGGTATCTTGGATGCTGGCACCCAGTCGCCATCAATGGTCCGATGCGCACTGTAGTAAATACCTTCGAAACGTAAGAAAAAGATACCTCAGCTGCTTCCTTCTGCTGAGGAAAATCATGCCAGGGTTTGGGCAACTAAAAAACTCCCATAGCATGAGCTGCATCTTTGGTGCTCTCTCTGTTGATGCAGAACGCCTGAAGATTCTATTTGGAGCACAATTTGTTTGCTGTTTTGTGCCGATTCTGTAACGATTAATTCTCTTGTTCTCCTGTTAATTGCAAATGATATACTTGAATTGCCAGATGGGGCCTACCCGGTTCATGATCTGACTCTCCTGTTTGGCAGCGCTTAAGAGAGATATATGTTGATTGTGCGTCTTGGTGGCCTGTATACGCGAGAAAGGGCAGGAATAACACAGCAACTTTTCCTGGAGCGCATTCAGACGGTTATTGATTGTGTCGGTTCAACCAGTGATTATGACTTGCATGTGCACATACTGAATGTGTAAACATGCACAATGCGGAGCTGAAGGCAACGGTGGCATGATCTTCTTCTAGGCTCAGGAGTGGGCAAGAAATGCAAGTGAGAAAATGCCGTTTCACAGTGTGATCACTCGACCGCCTGGTACATTGTGCCACCATCGCTTTTTCCAACAATAATTCCAACAATAACTGAAAGTGTCAATAGGTTTGCATCTGTTGGATCACCCAGACACTTCTGTACCACTTCATTCTCTTTTGGGCACTGTCTCGAAGGCCTTGTCTCGCGAGGGGGCGCCTTCTATGCTGCTGGCCTGTTCTTGCCTTGGAACAGATTGAACAAAGTTGTTTAATCTGTGAACACCGGTTGACACCGTATTAACACCGTTTTTCTTCGAACGTTCAGATTCGTCGGGGCCCCAGTTGCCGCATCTTCTGTTCAGCACCTTGGGAGGGTTTGTGTTCCGGCAACACCGCGGCGCAACGTCGTGCAGAACCCCAATTCACCAGAGGCGAACATGACGACTTGACGACCTGGCGACCCCGAGAGTCGCTGACCGACGGTGGATCCTGCGCCAACATTTGCGCGATCCTACGCCAACATTTGCGCTGAGTTGACGCAGTCATGATTAGCTTCCATGCGGTCAGCGGCGACCGCCACACACGGAACGCGATCAAAACCCGCTTTCCACCACAGCTGCTCGTTTGTTTCTTTGCAACCGGTGGCGGCGCGCGTCCCCCTCCCGATCGTTACGCGGATGCTGCGGACCCCGGGATGCAGCTGCCATTGACGCTGTTCTGTGTCAGGCGCTGTTCCAGTTTCGCTCGACGGGGAATGGGGCTCTGTTTGGGATTGCATTCCGACCTCCTAGTGGACAGTCTTCGCCAGAACTCCGCGACCCCAAAACGTTGCCGACAATCGCAACACACTGCGTGGAAAGGAGGGTCCACAACTGTGTGCACGCGAATGCCGTGCACGTGCCGCGCATGAGCCATGCGTTAGAGTGTGCCTCTGCCTCGGATTCCTACGCTTCGACGAAGTGCACGACTTGTTTGTGTGCACACCTTGCAACGCTTCGACCCGCGAGCGTCCGCAACGCAGCTGCCAATTGGCGGTGCAAAATAGGGTACTGGTGTGTAGGTTAGGTTGCAACGCAGCCCCCACAACAGCACCTTATTCTGCATTCGGCATTGGGCGTCGCACGGTGACCGCTTCGGGCCTCCTTGAGCCTTCAACCAACACGCCATCCTTCACAGCATCCAATGCATACTTTCCCACCGTAGTACTTTGGGACCCGCCAAGCTACAACACCGCTTCCGGTGTGCGTCCGCAGAACCTCGTCGGCCCCGCGTCCCCTCCCCCCCCCCACCACCACACCCGGCCCCCACCTTGCAGGTGTTCCCCCGTCGGGTCCAGCCGCATGGTCAGGTGCTCCCAGTCCGCGGTGTGGGACCCCACCGGCACCACCTTGGCCGCCCTCAGGTTGCCGTTGAACATGAAGAAGAACGCGTACACGACCTCCAGAGCCACCAGCTCCCCCCGCGGTTCCCCATTCTCGTCGAGCAGCCTGACCTCCCTCACGTGGCCGTAGATAGGCACATCTGGCAGCGCCTCCAGGGCCGCTCTGGTGCGATGGCGCTCGTGCAGCACCAGCTGCAGCTCGTGTTTGTCGCCCTGGGGCGCCTCGGCCGCTCCTGTCGCCGCGGCCATTAGGTTCTCGCGGTTCAGCTCGCCCGATTCGAACAGCGCCTCGCGCATCGGCGGCCCGCCGCTCTCTGGCTTGCGGCGTGGGGTGAGCTTCAGCAGCCCGGCGACGTCCAGGAAGGTCTCCGCGTTGGTGGGGAAGTAGCGCTCCCGGCTGTGCAGTCGTATCTCGGGCACGTACTTGGCCAGCAGCCGGCGGGCCTGGTCCGACTCCATGGGGATGGATTTCCCAGCTGGCTTGCCAGGCGGTGTGCTGTGGGAAGGGGGGCCGGGAGCAATGCCCGCGTGCTGCTCCGGAGGTGGCCGCCGAGTCGTCGGTGGGTGGGCAGAGGGGCGTCACTGCTACCGGGTGGGTGCAGTAGCCCGCCCTTTTGTCCGCCTGGCTTGGCCGCTAAGCCGACGCAACCGAGAACTTGGATGGAAGATGACGGAACAGGAGTTCACGTTTGTGAGGACCGCGAGGCGACCGGAAGCGACCTTGAATGACGCGTGTGATGCCACGTTGTGCCGAAAGGCCCCGGACCACGTTGTGGCCCTGCCGTTCCACCGGAAACAGTGACGTTGACCGCGGCCAAGTGTGACGATGCGACAGGCGGCCTCTTTCGGTTCCGCGTTTTAGCGCCCTCGATGGATCTACACATCTTGCCAAATTGAAATGCGGGTATGGGAGAATATGCTTTTATACCCTGTACGAAGAGGTTATGATCCGTGCCGCGGTCATGATACATGATTATGAGCGCCATATCAAGCACCTCTGCCCTTTTTGGAAGAAGCTTGCGTCCAATTACTGCCTCGTCTTTTGATGGCCAGGAGCAAACCATGGTTGTAAGCGTGGATTGCATTTAGACACAGGTCAAAGTCGCACGATCGCAAATGACGACCGTTATCGGCTGCGGCAACACACGCGTGGCCAACTTTCTTTGCACAGGCAACGCTGCAGATTTGCAGAATACTGCACCCTAAAGTGCAGTATGCAAACTCAGCTGCAGGGTCTATGCCTCAGAGAGTGCCTGCCAAAGGCCTCAATTATCTGCCCTTGTCACCGATATGAAGATGCTGTACTACAATGAGGCGGGTTGGTACAGGAAAACTTGGACCATAGAATGAGGATTGACCAGATGGTCGATGGCAATCAGGTGGTTTCAGGGGGCCGGCGGCAACCACACGTTGGATGAAACATGGCCACAGACTCGTGTTTTCAAACAATGTTCCAAGAGGCAGAGGCCCCCGCACTATTGAACACCGCCGCGCTATCCTCCGTGATCTACGCTACCTGTACTGATATCAATCTCTTGGTGCTGTGAAACCCAGACAGTGTTTTAAAGCCAAATGCCAGCGCTGCCTGTCCGGTCGCGCTGCAGGTGCAGTGCTCCTGCGGACCTCAAAGAATCCGGACATCAGCATTTTCGTCCGATTTGTGCATCGCGATCGATGTGGACGCACAACCCTATCGAAGCGTTGGCGAAGCGTCGGTGTGCAGCGGATGGCGTCAGGATCAAATGTAGCAGCTTCGGTTATGCGTCTGGAGGTCGTTGAAGGGCCTTGTTGCATCCTGGTGAGCGATCTGAGGTCGGGCGATGTGCGTACATCCACCTAACGCAAACGCTGCAAAGGAGGGCGCGGAGGCGACGCTTGAGTGAATCACTGGAAATTTTCGTGGTGAATTCATACAAATTGAGCTCGCGACCTCGCTCCGTTGATCAGCGGATTGGGTACGAAATCTGGAGAGGGTCGCATAGTCTGGCGGCACGTTTGTGTCGAGTTGACTGGAGACAACACAGTCGTTTGTGCCCACTTTGTAAGCCGTTCCTACCGCCTGCGTTGTGCAGCTTTCTGAACTTTCTTCAACATCAGCCAACGTGGGATTTATTTCTTCCAAATGCCACCGCACTTTTCCTGCACTGTTTACTCAAAGGAAAATATGTCGAGAAATCCAGAGATAAGGCGGAGGCAAACAACTTATGTGGCTCCCGGTGATGTCAGGGTAGCCACTGTTGTTCTGACACAACCCGTGGAGGACATCTGCCTGCACTTCAGCGAGCCGCATAGCATGTGGCTCCTATGTGCATAAGGGAAGTTGGGTGGCAGTGCGCTCTTTTTGGAAGGCTTCCTACGTTATTTGTACCTAAGAATGCAAACTCTTGTGCTGGCATACGCGGTTTTGGACAAGCTACCTCATGTCTGTATTTTTTCCATGCAAAAGAGCGGCAATTCACACTTGCTGTGAGTCCTCAGACTTATTCTGTGGTCGCACCCAAGCCATTTTGAATCAAGCCCCCGAGATTATCCAGCTCAGTTGGTGGTTGGGGGAATCCATCATATTTCTGATACAGCATCACGGTCACCGAAACGGGTTAATCACAAGCTACATAATCAACCTTTTACATGTCGTCGAATTTTCTATGTCTGGGGAATCTTCCTTAAAGGTTTAAGTTGTTGCAAAGAACATATATGGATTTGAGGAGAGCCCATGAGCCTCAAAGCGTTTCATGATTGGCCACCAGGAACCGGGACATAGCAATTAGCGCTTCCATATCCACAGACGCCTTTTCAGCGGTACGACTAGTTCAAAACCCCAAAAATAGTTGAAAATGATTTGGTAATATGTCGAAATGCTCTTGTAGAAAGTTCAACATCAGTCGCCTACGTCATCTATCGATTGTCATACAATTGCGGTTCAATTGCATCCAGTGCTGCTCCGATTGTCGACTGATCATTAATTCACTTGAAATCGTAACGCCTTTTGAACTAGAGATAAGAAGGCACCACGATTTTTGGTTCATTAAGCAAGCACCAAAATGGTCGAATGCTGCAATCTTAGGCCAAGGCCACCAGCACATTGTCTTCAACATTGACGTCCAACATTTTTGAATTTCGGCAAGGATCGTCACCACAGCTCGCATTGTTGGCGTTGCACCACAGAACGAAAAATACCAATGCGTTGGTATTCTCCACGTTGGCGCCATTTGCCATTATCAAAGCAGAATGCCTTGATAGCATACTTTTACGGCGATGCCATTGGCCGTATACTAAGTATAAGTTTGGTGGCGTTTCCACAAAGAGAAAAAAGGGCGTCCAAGCGCTTCCAAGCGCTCTATTGGCACAGCTCGAGGCGCTAAAAGTAGCATTTGGAGCCTCCACGCACTAAGGGAAACGTCCGACTGCTAAGACAAAAGATTCTGAGTGCATCTGGAGCGTCCGAGGGCGCAGAATCTGGAGGAGACGTGGACACTTTTTTCCGTTTGCACGTGGCGCGGACGCATTGGACACTTTTTCTTTGCACTCGGACGCTCTGTGCGTGGACATTTTTGTCACTCGCGGGCACTCTTTATTGTCTGGAGAGGGCGCGGAAATCGTCCACGCAGCACGCACACGCTGTGCGGAGGGCATGCCGACACCATCCGAAGAGTACGCGGGTACTTTCCATGGAGTGGTTGGATTCAATGGCGACCATATCTTTTTTTTTTGGGGGGGGGGGGCGGGGGCAGTTGTTCCCACCTCACAACCACCACCACCCATGTGGTTGTTATTGTTGTGGTGCTGTGGTGCTGTGGTGGCATGTGGCTGTGGGTTGAGGGTGAGGGTGTGAGTGATCCCCTACATGACTGTTTTGGGTGTGGGGGCGCAAGTGGCCCCCAACGCGTTGGTTCTGTTTGGTAGTGTCGGCCGGCAATGCAAGGTTAATATTTGTGATTTCCCATCTCTGGAGATCGGCACTTGGAGAGCCAACGCACAAAGCAAACAAAAACCGTTACTTTTTCGCTCCCCAACACTGGCGATGGCAGCGCTTAAGCAGCCTGCCCGCGTAGCTCACACAAACGTCATTTCTTCACCATGCGGCTCCTCCACCGCCGGCAATTGCAGTTCCCGAGTGGGCTACGCACGTCACAGAAACCGGAGTTCTTCACCATGCGGCTCCTCCACCGCCGGTGATTCTGGCCCCGCAGGAGCCTGCAATATAACACATAGAATTTGTCAATTCCGCATCTGCCACCTCCACAATTGTGGGCGATAGAGGCACTTGGGTGCCCTCCACACAAATCACGTAGAAACCGTCAGCTCCTCGCATATGCATGTTGTCCCGTCCATTGCCACAAAGCATCCTCAAAGGGGCTAGCCTCCCCCATGAGGGTCATGTGATCAGCCACACTAATCTTGTTAAGCCTTTATCACCTCCAGGCTTGGTTTTTATGCCGTAAAAACCAATCGTATTTACGTTTTTATGCGTAAAAACAGTTTTTATGTTTTTACGCATAAAAATGCATAAAAATACGTAAATACAACGTAAAAACTGACCGGTGTACATAAGGACAGTACATGCAGATATACGGAACCTAGAGAGTGGCAGCCAGACGCCCTGGAAGGGCCAGAAAACGAGCTTTTCTTAAACACCATCATCGCCCTTGCCAAGGGCGAGGTGGATACTGTGTTGCGGGTGCTAGATATGGCGGAGGACTGATCATTGTACGCAACTTTCATCGTGCCATCTGGGCGTCCAAGGGAGCCGTAAAAACATAAAAATAGTTGTAAAAATAGGCCTTTTTGCAAATTTACGTTTTTACGCGTAAAAACATAAAAAATAAAAACATAAATGTAAAAACCAAGCCTGATCACCTCGGTGCTTTTTCATGTCACGACGGGTGCACGGTGTCTTGTTCGTGGCAAATTTTCCCTGTTTCTGTTGGATGTGGGGCAATTTGGCAGGGATTAGTTTTGTGCTCAACATAACCACTCTCAAATGATACACTGATGTATGTCATTTTGCAGCCCCTTGGAGCTGTTGCCGTTGCGCATACACTATTCAAACGACCGAGCACGTCCGAACGCATCCACCCTCTTGGAGTGTCTCGGGGCGTGCGGAGCTATCCGAAGCTTTGGAAAAATTTAACGGCTACTCGGACACATCCGCGTGCGGATACGCTCGGATGCCTCAGAGCCACTCGGAAAAAATGCGGACGCCCCCCTTTTCCCATAGTGTTCTTGGCAATGCAAATCTGTCGTGCAAATGGCTGCAGTACTCTAAAACGGGAGTTTGAATTAGGGCTCCATTCCAGAGCTTCAATATGGTAACTTTCGAAGGTCCATAAAGACAACTATATTTGTTTGCTGCCCTGGTTCATTCAATTGAACGACAATTCAATTTGTAAAGGATGGCGGCCCATTCTGGCCGTCATCCCTGGAGATAGCATAGACTAATCACCCTTCAACGAGCAGCC